ATGCATCAATTGTGTCGTAGCCCAACTGATGTAAATGCACCAGGCTAATGTCTTAAATCTGGGTTGATTTAATTAATCTTCAAGGTAATGATAAATACTGGAAGAAACTATCTGAAGAACAAATGTCCAAAACTTAGTGCCCCTTAACTTAAGGCTAAGAAGAAAGCAGCAGAAAATTTTACAAAGTGTGTTCTATTTATTTAATGGTAAAAACACTTTATCACTTAAAAATTGCCTTATAAAATAAAAAAAGGGAAACTGAAATTAAATCCTAGAGATTCTTTTTCAAAAAATTTTGATAAGACAGACTTGATGTTTATTAGTTCTCAAGCCTGCTTTAGTCTCTTCTCAGAATATGTCCAAACCCTAGACACTACAAAACGAGTAATCCAAACCACATTAGATGGCATCTAAAGTAATTATAACACATGGGAATGTGCTAATCTGTACTAATATCTGGCTAAATTTGCAGTACATCTGCTATATTTATAATGATATAGAGAAAAACTTCACTAATCATAATTTAAACTGAGATATATTCAAAGAACCCAATGAGTAACGGCGGCTAGGCTTCAATAACAAAGTATTTAGAAATTTCTATGAATTCAAATGAAATCTTTTTTTTTTTTTTTGGAGAGGTTTTTGCTATAGGCCGCATGTGCTCGCCAGACAGACAGAGAGACATAGAGACAGAAAGCGAGAAATCACCCCCCAGGGGGGATGGCCACACCATAATCCCTTCTCCTCTGTTCTCCCCTCAGGATCTTGGGCACACACGCACACGCACCTGGTGTGAGTTTTAAGCCACTGGATCCAGGACGCGAACCGTGGTCGACTACATGGGAGTCCAGCGACATAGCCATTACGCTAACTGCTGGTCCCTGAAATCTTTACATAAGAGAAAACAGGAGTGTATAGTCTTGTTTATTGCATATCTTCTTTAGAAATACTCCTCAAAGGCAGGCCAATATTTTCGTTTTCTGTATAAGAATCATTTTACACTCATAATCCTTACAACTTGTTGCAGAATTGGAGTAATCCTAGATGTGCATAATTATGATCCCTTTATAAATAAACTTGCGTCACAAAACCAGCGCGAAGACAAGGACTGTGCCGAAGTTGCTATGATACTTTGACTAGGGTTTCAAAGTAATGAAGCAACAGGTTTTTCCATTTCTGATTTTTTCCAGTACTAGACTTACAGCTAGGGCTAAAAGCACATCTCATGGAAAAACCAACTGCACATCTCCACATGTAAGAAGTAAGCTAACTCACCTGGAAGATGGAATAACCATTTAGGAAACTTTTGAATGGATCCAGGTCTGTGAGTGCTTTACTAAACTATCATTTTGTAGTCCTATTAAAAACCCTGCAGGTGGGCCAGCAGGTGGCACAGAGTAAGGCATCTAATCCCACAGGGCCAAATGAGCAGTTTGACTCCTGGGCCCAGTGGTTTGAAACACAAGCCGGGCACTTGTGTGTGTGTGTGTCCAAAAGTCCCAAGAGGAGAATGGAAGAGAAGACTGCGGCTTGGTCATCACCCCTTAGGGTGATTTCTCTCCCTCTCTCTCTGTCTGGCCCCACCCCGTTTCTCCAGCAAGAGCATGTGCCCTATAACAAAATTTAAAATTGATCAATCCCTCTCTGAAGGTAGGAATGTGGATTTACCATGAAATCCTTTTCTCTTTTTACATCTCAGTTCCTTGAGCTGAGTTATAAAAAAGAATGCATCTCAGTTCATTTGATGTTATGCTGGAAATGCTACAAATGAGGGGATGTGGTGGAGGACTTCAACACCTTCCAATATACAGACCTGCCTGGACTCCATGAAAGTTTAAGGTCCTAAGAATAACAGTATGATTAACATCAGGATAAACAACATAGCACTACATTCATGCCAGCAGGTGTCTCCTACAGCCCATGAAGCACCCAAGAAGACAACCAGGTATAGAAGACCTTGCCATGACTGTATGTGTATGACTCCTGGACTGTGACAGCCTGAACTGTTAGATGAACAGTTACGCTTTTGAGACCCTGAATATGGGGATCTAAACATATGCAGACGTTAATTTTTAAACGTTACTTTAAAAAAATGTATTGAATATGTCAATTAAAACAGACGATCTATTTTATTTGAAGTGGTAAATAAAATAATTCTTGGGGCCCAACCACAGTGATGTGAGCAGCAGAGTGTCACTGTGTGATGCTAGAGCCACATGGGAGGCCCCGATCCGGATCTCTGACCAACCTGAACATGCCAGCACAGCAGTGCGCACCTGTCCTCCTTAACCAGAAGACTGGTGGGAGGACTGGGACACGGCAAGACCCTGTCCAAATTACCTATCCCGCTCTT